CTTCATCAGGATATCAATTAGAATGTCTCTCCCAATCTTGTTAGACAAAAAGGAACCATATGTTTCAATATAAGGCAATGGTGGGAGGGGGACAGTGCTAAGTAGCTGGAACAGTTTGTCTAACAAGACTGGAAGAGACATTCTAATCTACATCCTCAGAGTGACATTTGAAATCTGCTACATCTAAATTGGCCATTTTGGAATCTTATCGCTCCGCTCAAAAGTTTACTGAATATTAGGGTCAGATGAAATCATAGTTGCTTTCACACAAGGCTCTTGAGGAATAACTTTTCCAAAACTAGCTGGAAGCAAATCTAAAATGTAGATTCCATAAAGGCACATAAACAACATTATATTATAAAACAAAGGCTCCTGACATGGCCAACACCCTTCTACAATGTTCACTCTGAAGGAAGTTTGGTTCAAGGATGCTCCCAGCAACATTACTTAAACCAGCTTCCCAATGAGCACGTGTGGGACATGCCTTTTGATAGCCTCTCTTTATTGATCCATGCTGAAAATAGGAAATTCAATTCATTTCTTCTTTTCTTCTCGAAATGACACTGATATGCCACTTAAAAACAAAAATGAAAAGTACCTGCACTTATCAGGACTCAATAAAAAGATTAGACCTTCAGAACACGGCCAAAGAGCCCGAAAAACCCACAACAACCAAAAAGATTAGAGCTTGCAAACAGGAAAAAGTTCTTTTTGTTTTTTAACTAATGGCCCAGGAAGGTGACCATGCCACTTCCTACAAAGTCATCAGCCTCGTCAGAATCCCCAATGGAGGCAGAGGAGAATACAGCAGAAGGGACTTGTTTAAAAGATCCAGAACCTGGGGAGCTTTTGATAAACTGAGATCCAGAGTAAATGTCTGTTCAGGTATTAGAAACCCCCCCCCCCACCAGTGCTCTCCTCACACCTCCACTGCACTTTCTTCTTCCAGTGACACATGAAGACCTTTTAACTGATTTTCACATTTTAACATTTATGGGTTTTGAAAGTTCTTTGAACTATTGATTCTTGTTTTTTGCTTTCTTCTGATGTTATTTTGATTGTTTAATATTTTACATCTATGCTTTATGTTTATATTTCGTTGTTTTAACTTCTGTCCAAAAACATTTGCTAGTCCTAATGTATACATTTGATAAATAAATAACAAATAAGAAAACATTTATCTAAGGGAAAAGGAAAGGAAAGGCAGCTATCTTCCACATACAGAATTTTGCTTCAATCTGAGAAATTCCCAAATAGTTAAAAAAGATTTTGAACATCCATGTATGAGTATGTGTGCAGTGGCTGGGTTTTTTATTGTTTTTCTGCTCTCCCAAACAACCATATGACACATGTAAAATTAAAACATTACAATGCAAAAGCAAAAAGCATATTTCTGTACATCATATAGTCACAGCAAAGTTAATCCCATATTAAACAAAACTCTAAAAATTGAAGATAAATATGCAACAATCTGGCATGAAATAACACTACAGGGAATTATCAAATAGTTTACTCTCTCTTTTAAAAATAAATAAATAAAAATGGCACCCTAGCCATATGCCTGAAGCAAATGGTTGAGCTGCAAGCATGTAATACTGTAAACGTTTGAGTCATTGAAGATTTTCTATCACTTAGCAACAAGAGATAAGCCCAACTACATCCAATATTATCATAATCAGCTTGCACAGCAATGAAAAGTACACGCAAGCTTACTAATTCTTCTTATTACCAAGGGGCTGCTTCTGGGAGGTAGCAGTATACCATGTATACAAAAATCAGCCTCCTTAAGTACAACGTTACTATGACAAAATATGTAACCTTAAGTTAAGAGAGAAGAAAACAACATCCACAGTTTCTTTAAAGAAAAAGGTCTTAGAAGAAACATGCTTAAAATAGTTTTTCTCAAGTTCCCCAATTTATAGAAGAATTCTGTCATATTTATAGGTTAATTAAAAGCACAGGTGATTGGCCCTACAATTATGGACATGATGTGCTATCATGCAATGTATTTTGCTTACACAACAAATTGTCAGTGTTCTTTTATGCCACTGACAAAGGTGGGCTGATTCAGCAAGCTATTCTGTACATTCATATTTCAAAGATGGCTGAAGTCTGCAGAGCCATCTGACAGAACAGATAAAATCAATGACTTAAAACAAGAATTTAAAAAAGAAACCCAAAAAAACAGAAACAAAAAAACACTTATCAGAAAAAAAGTTGTCTTTTTATCCAAAAAAATCTGACTTCTGAGGCTAAGAATTACAAAATCATGCAGACATTTATATCATTATTTATTATCCTAGTCTTTAAATTAGATATGGAAGTCGAAGGTCAACTAACTCTTTTTTAGATTATTTTCTTTCAACCAGTGCTCCCCACCTTCCAGAACAACCAATGCGGTAACTATGCTGCATGCCAGAGAAAGGGGTTTAAGTGCTGGATGTTTGGCACTGGCATGCAGGTACATGGTGCACCAAGGAGCAAGGCTCGCACAATGGATGTGCACCAAGTTACATCTCTTCCCAGTTCTTTGATATCCATCCACATCACACACTTAGAGTTGTGCAGCCCCAAGAGAGGGTGAAAGGAACTGACCTTCCAACACATCACCTGGTGGTACCATAAAATTCACTTTGTTTCAGTAGAACTTAATTCCAAGTGAGTATGCACAGGACTATAGGCTTATCTTTCTAATAAGTTGTTTTGCTTGCTGTCCTTTGCATGTGTATAAAGAAAACAACCTCCCCCCCCAAAAAAAAAATCCTCTCTCAAAAATTCAATGTCAGAGTGCAAATGAAAGATTTGCCCTGTGAGCAAAGATTTTGTATTATGTTCCTAGATAGTATAAAGCAGGAACAAGTAATTTGTGGCCTTACAGATTTTGCTGGCCTTCAAGTCTCACCAGCTTTAGCCAACACAGCCAATGACAACAGATCTCTATAAAGCTACATATCCCCCATGCCTGTATAAAGATTCTATTTAGCTGCAAATTAATATGTTTTATTTGCTACAGTAACCAGCAGGTATGCATATTTATTCCAAAAATAAATTAATTTTAAACAGGAAAACTGATTTTAATCAGTGAATTAAACCAATCTTTATCCTTTTCAATCACTCCATCCTGCTTTTATGTGTGCATATTATATTAGCATACAATATTTTACTTGTCTATGCAAAAAAAAAAAACACTTTGCTGATCTGTTCAAAATCTTCCTTGTTTCCCTGTTAATCCCTACTTTCCCATGATTTCATTTACTGCCCTCAGACCTTAACGCTTCCTTAGATACTTCTTCTAGCAACACTAAAGAACATCACTGCAGTGCTGGCATGCAATTGAAATTTATAGCACTGGCCAGCATTTAAAAAAACAAAACAAAACCAACAACCATGCAACTACTTTCATGAGAAAAGGAGGGCTCTGAGAAACTGCAGTTCTTAAGAAGCATCCACATCACAGAGTAAGCTCACTTTGAATCTTCTTTTGAATGTCTGCTATCTGAAAGTGTGGGGGAAGGTGACTAACAAGCCACACCAAGGCGTTGGGTGTGTCCAAGGTACCCAGTCAAACTTATAAGTTAATTGAACAAAGATTAACAAAATCCAGAGAACAAACCATTAATACACTTTGTTTCCTAACATACTATTCTTGACATATCCCTGCTGAAACCGACGCAGCCAAAAGAACATTGGACCCTTCTGTGGCAAATGCTAATATAAATACAAAGATTAACAGATAAGCTAAGAAGCAAGAAATCTCAGACATTAGCTATTCCACTGATGGAATAGGACTAGATATCCTAATCCAGGTATCACAGATGTTGCACAAATGAAACACAGGAACTGAGGGGAAAGTACTCTGTTTTAATGTCACATGTCCCAAAATAACTTTTGTCCAAACTTTAACAAAGTGTCTGAGAAATACTGTATATGACATATAATTGTTTTTACAGTAGAGTATTTCACCAATCCTTATTAGAGGAACAAAATGAGCACCTAAATATTATTTACACTGTATGAATAATTATGCTCTTCTTCAACTTAATACTGCAAATTTGATAGAGAATAGCAGCATAAGTGTATTGATGAGTGATAATTTCTTGAAACTGGTCGAAAACTATAGAAAGCCATCCAAACCATAGCTAGTTTCATACAGTAACTCAATCTCCACTTTAAGCCAAAATGTGAAAAGGAGGCTAATGAACAAAAGGAGGAAGGGACTTGGCAATAGATATGAAAAAAATCTTCCGTTTTAATGAAATGCATTCAAATATTCTGTCACTCTTCTTTGAAAGCTCTGATATGATATCTTTTTCATCATAAAGTGACTAGAAACAACAAATAATCTAGGGCACAGCCAGGAAATATATGGACTTTCAGATGTTGTTAAATCACAATTCCCATAAGCACCATACTGCATGCTCAATGGTTAAGGATGATGGGAGTTTTCATATAACAACTTTCGGAAGGCCACATGTTCTCTGTACCCAATCAAGAGTGTTATTCATTAAAATGAACATTTAAAAAAATTCCCAAGCTATTGGACAAGAAAATAATATAGTGCTTGTCACCATGGAAATGAAATCAACTATCTTGGCAGAAAGGAGTATAATCACCACATGACCACCACCTGCTGCCTCCATGTACATGACAGATCAGACTAAATGAAGCACAACTCTTTATATATTATATCATGCCAGTAAACATCCAGTTAGATACTTATAGGAATGAATGTTTACAAAAGCACAAAAATGCAGTTTATCTAGCAGTCTCTTTCATGAAGCTTTTGCTATGACAGAGTACCAAGATTTAAACAATATGTGTCAATGTAGAAACAAAAAAGATTAGAATAATGGAATCATGATGTGCTATATAAATAAAAAATCAAACTGTGGAATCAGCCTCTTCATTATATGAGTTTCTCTGCTAAAGTTTTGCCAAATGTTTATACTGTACAGTACTTCCCATAACAAAAACATTAACCACACTCCTAATTCTCCTACCTCAATCAAGAAGTCTCCTGTTCTCAAGCCAGCTTGCCATGCTACCCCGCCTTCATCCACTGATTCCAGATACTGCAAAGCAGGAAAGGCTGGAGTTGGGGTGAATTCTTCAATAGGCGTATCAGCTTTGGAAATAGTAAATTATATATATTTTAATTAGGAAAATATACAAATTCGTTAAAATATAGGACTTAAATATGTCCTTAAATACCTTAAAGACTTAATTGTGAATTATTTATACAAGTACAGAAATTGAGTAAAAAAGAGAGACTCCCTATCTCTCTTTCACTTTTCTTTGCATGTGGATTATCACTGGGATTTAGTCAGAAAATGAATGATAATTGGCCATATGACAAAAAAAGGGAATCAATTTGATTGAACACAATTGGAAAAAGGTAACCTTAATTTTCAAATGAATGTGTGGAGAAATAAAGGAGTTCAAATTTTGAATACTCTTAAGCATTTAATTGTATATTGTATGTGCATTAAGTACATATAAACATATGATCTGCCATATTACACTTTACAGATATGTGCGCTGATCAGTTATTCAATTATACCTGTGAAAATTATACATTAAGCATCATGCAAGCATATTTTTAATGGAGCACTCGAAAATTTCACCTGCAGAGCTCAGCTCCTTGTGAAATTAACACATAGAATGAGGGACCCCTATTTGCTGCAAGCATAACCCAGCAACAGCTGATCGACATAGTGACGAAGTCACAGGGTTTCCAGAAGACCCCATGAAGACCCCATTTAGCCAGCAGAGTTAACCAGAAACTGCTACATAGATACAAAAGACCAATAGGGGTTTGCCATTCTAGCAGGGAATGATAAAAATGGAAGGGTGGGGAGGATCCTTCATAGAGCACATACAGGCTAGCCTTTCCTTAAAGCCCATCAGGGTGAGGGAGAGCCCATCCAGCCATCAAGGGGTGGTTGTGGCAGGCACTGGGACAAACCACCACTTTAAAAAATAAAATGCAAAAGGTATTACAAGCAGAGCATTCAAAAGATATCTTCCATTCTCTCATAAAAATTTATTAAACTGGTTGTGGCAGAAAAAAACGGTTAGAACATTTTTATACATGTCAGGGAGTCCTCAAAACGGAACACACACGCATACACAGACTAAGGCCATTCCACATACATGCTGTTTCTGAAGCTATAAAAACCATCTGATTTTCATACTAAAACTGCAGTAATTTTACCCTGAACAAGCTACAATCGCCTGTTTCAAGCAAGAAGCAACATGCTTCTACAATTAATGAATAATTTTAATAGATCAATGCTTTAAATGAATACATTTTGACATTCCCTCCCCCCCAGCAAAGATGGTTACAGTATAGATAAGCTGAATAGTAATTACGATATAGTGAACAGCTAGGTAAGTATTCCCTCAAAATTATTCTGCAGATAAACACACACATACACACACACACACACATACAAAACACCTATAACATAGATGGTCCCTCAAAAAAACACTGCTCAGTCAGAAACCAGTAAAATCTGTATCAGTACTACTGCACAGAGAGAACACTGTTGTCTAGCAACCAAATGCATAAGGGCTAATGCCTGTTTCTTTTTAGCAATGCATGCCATTTTTCACACAGACACTCCTCACCCAATCACACAGAAACAGAAAATCCACATACCTTTGGCCCCTCTGAGCACAAACCCAAATCCTTCATTGTCTTTTTTCTGCAGGACCACTGCCTTCTCTTCTATAATGCAGTCACTGTAGAGAGAATTCCGAGGATAGCGACCATTATTACATCCCTTCATCACCACCGTAGTAGCTGCTCCTCCAGTGTGCAGGTTCATCATCATCACAGCCAGTTAATCAAATAATATTGCAGTAACGGAACATGGGAAAAATATAATAGCAAACCACAGAAGAAAGGAAGAGACAGAGACAAGGCTTAATGGCAAGGGAGAACATGACAGTGCAACTTAACAGAGGGAATAATGCAGAGGAAACAGAGGAAGAAACCATGCATGGTGGTGACTGAACAAATGTGTGATCATGTCATCTGTGTGCTAGCTAGGAGTCTAAAAGAAAAGAAAAGTGGACTGAATGATAGTAGCATTAATAAACTCCTCAATCGTGGATGTACCAGATGCATCTTCTACTGAAGCCAAAATGAAACCAACCAGAAGAAAAATGAGGCAGCATTCTTAAAAAAATTAAAGTTAGCTTGGTTTGCAGTGAATAAGTAGCTAAAAGGCACAAATATATTCAGAAGCTATGCCTCGCATCAAAAGCCCTTTTTCAATCCTATTGAATGTTGCATGCTGCAAGAATCCCACATGATCATCTGACAGCCTACAATGCTAACAACGTGCAGCTGCCTTGGCGTCATCAAGCACAAATTTTCACAGCATCAAGAATCTGCATAATTTAAATAGTAACAAGGCATGGCTGCTCATGATTACCTTTTTTTTCTCATAAAATAAAATATCATGCTTTCTTGAAAGCTAACAGATGAAATTGTCACAGGAGGGTATTCTATATGACAGGCATAATTTTTTTTTTAAAAAAAAGCAAGGCAGTTCCTTCAAATTTCTCTTGCATAGGTGATCGTTATCATTATTCTCATTATTAAATCCAGTTATTAAAACAACAGCCTTAGCTATGTTCCTGTGTAAAATTATAAGCCTTCAAGGCACTTCAGTTGCAAGCTTCTTTGGTTTATAAGAAAATCAATCAGATAAAATGGCTCCATATTTAAATGGAACACATTTACAAAGAAATTATTAATGCACAGCTTTTCATGTGAACACCACCTTCATTTATACAACAGGCAATGCCCCCCTTCCCTTTAACAATGCCACAAAAATATGGTGGTGCAGTAGCAGAAAACCAATGGTTTGGTAAAAACAGAAGCAAACTGAGGATTTTATCCTATGAAACGCAACTGGCTGATACTGATCAAGAATTGATGTTGCTCATAAAAGAGGACTAAAACCCTCCTCCTGCTTATTCAGAATTTTTCATATCTCTAAGGCTTTAGTTAGCTAGCACTAATATTGCTAAATTCACTGCTGAAAGATGGAAACGAATAATGGACACTTCCTTCAACATTCCACAAATGGACCCAAAATAGCCAGCACCCTCTGGCAGAAATCCACAGAGCAGCTGGCAGTTATGATGGAAGCATTTTCTGGGAGAGAAGCCACACACACATTGTCAGTCCCTCAGCTGGTGAGTGGGCCAGACAATCCGTGCTTTTGTTCCCCATTAATGGCACAAAAGCACATATTGAAAATGTGCAGAGTAACAAGACACAAGCAAAAGGTACACCTAGCAAGCTTCTGACCAAAAACACCCTGCAGCTTAAGTCAAGGGTGTTTACAGCAGAGTTTCAGAAGGAACAGAAAAATATGAAAATACTTTTGGAAACAGGCAAAGAATACGTGGCTCGTGACCAGTGTAAAAGGCACCCTACTCTGAAATTCTGGGATGAGACTCAGTGACCAAACCACTATCTCTCTTCTTCCCAAAAACATCATTCCCACTAGTGAAAACAGTGATTTCTAGAAGTTCTTTCAAAGGAAATACATTTTTAAAGCTGTGCAAAAATGACAAGATTAAGTCTGTCCCTTCACCCAACTTCTACCACCCCTCCTCAGCTGCTTCTCTCTAGCTCTTCTTCATTCCAAGAAACTTCCTTTTTCATTCCTGCCTTTTTAGAAGCTCTGCTTCTCCTATCTTCTGTCCTAGGCTGCCTCTTTCATTTACCTCAGCCAAACTCATTCCATCTACTACTCTCTTCTTTCCTGCAAATCACCTTCTCTCCCTCCCTGAGATCATTTCCTACCCGTCACTTATCACCAGAGCCCAATACAACATTCCACAAATAGGGCCAAAAATAGGACAACCATGTGCCAGATGTATTTAGATTTGATTCCCACACTGAGTAGGGGGTTGGACTCAGTGGCCTAACAGGCTCCTTTCAACTTCATTACTGTATTCTATGATTCTGTGGGCCTGGACACTTCTTCCTGTCAAATCCTTTCACCTTCTTAACCTCAAAACAATTACAAGGCAAAATCTAGAGCATCACAGCAAACCCAAAACAACTTCATTAATCCAGAAATATATAACCTAGCTATCATTTCAGTCGCTACAGGTTCAATTAGGATATATTGTGTGTGTTATGTGCCATAAATCAGAATTGACCCTAATAGGGCTTTTGAGGTAAAATAAATGTATAAGGAGTGGTTTTACCGGTTTCAGCCCATCCCAGTGAGTGTCCATGGCTGAGGAGGGATTCAAACTCAAGTACCCTGATTCCTAGTCTGTCACTTTATCCAAAACACTACAAAAAGTATCTAGTGTGGATATACCAGCCTATCCCTGCCATTTTATAGCATGTTAACTAGATCTAAATTTCTACTGTAATTCAGTTACCTTCTAGCACAGCAAAGTATTAGGGAAGGCAATATCTTTATTTCACACACTGTATAGCAGAGTTTTTGAGGCAGAAACTCAGGTCAGGAGAGATGTGGTTCATAGCATATCTCCTAATCCAGACTTTGTCCCTATTCCAGAGTGAACAATTAAGTGCTCTTCCTACTTTGACCTGAAAGTCTTCAGAAAGGATGATTTATTAAGGTTGGAGATATTGTCTTCAATCCTAACATAACTTAATAGATCTTCTTGACTCTTTTAATGTACCAGAAGTTCATAACATCTTGAACTGGGACAGGAGGAGATACTAGCGGTTAGGGATCAAGCAGGCCAATTTCTAGCCCAACCTCCTTTAGTAATCTACAGGTATTTATGGGTGATGAACTGACTGTCTTTACCTGGCCACAGCTAGTTAGATAACTTGGTGAGTTAGGTATCTGCCTGTGGGGCCAGAAATTGAGTTAAATTCCCCATTGCGCATCCTAGAAGAGGCAGACTGTGTGGCCTTTGGCAAGCTGCACAGTACTAGAGCACCCCTAGAATAAGAGAATGGTAAACAACTTAGAAAACCCTGAAAAAGTTTGCCATTAATCAGAACTGACTTGACAGGACACAATTATGATTACTTGGTCATATTTAGATTCTCTTCTCTTTTGTGTTTAAAATTTTAATGTTCTTCTGCATACATTTAAGATCCCATGTATGCAGAAGAGGATCCTGTGAAAGAATGAACCCTGCCTCATAAATTCTCCAGCTAAAAGTGAAAATTACAGAGATGGCTGAAGCATTCTATGCTTCAGCCAAATTGGGGAGAGGTATCTATTCTTGCCCCCACTGCAATGAATAAAGGAATGAAAGGATGATCCTAATAATCAACAACTTCAAGATTAATTTAGACCTTGCTGCTGATTGATTGCATTTCCCTGGGTGCTGATCATCTAGCTAAGCAATCTGATTTTATAAAATGTAGCACTTTAATAACCCAGGAAGGAAATGTTAATTATTTTGTTGACTATCAGTGTTCCATTCAGTTCCCAGCACTTCAGATACGTGGCTCACATTCTTAAATAAGAAGTAAAGTCACAGTTCTAGAACTATTTAGAACCTTCAAAGCTTCGTTACTACTAATAAGCTTAAAACTATTTCATTTTAAGCATTCTAAAAATGCTTTTAGACATCAGCAGTAGCACTCCTGGCTACCTGGATCTTATTGATCCAGACTACTGCCAACACAACAACAATGAATGAAATTCAGAAACACCCATCCTATACTGTATTAGGCTCGCCTCTTTTATGGGCTGCAGCTGGCCTGGAAAATAAGCTTGGTCAGCTAGAGGTAACGGGGGGAAAAACTGACTTGGTAAAAAAGCACAATGTTTATACAGCCTTTCTCTGCATACCTGTGAGATGAATTAATGTTGCTACTGGTACCCAGAATCATTCCGACAAAAATTAGCAAAGTCTCTATACAGCAACAGAGAAATATTTAGCAATGTATCTAGAATGACTGCTCTAGCAATGGACTAGAGCTTATTGAAAAGCTTACTCCATGGTGTTGAAAGGACCCAAAAGAAAATATTTTTCTTTCCCATCGCCACATTTGCACATAACCACCTTGTGAAGTTGTTTCAGGTGAAGGACCCAAAAGAAAAGGATGCTGACCACTCAACATCATGCTGAAAAATTTTACATGGCACTTTGCAGACAAAGTCGCTTGGATCCTCTCTGACTTAGATGCCATAGTTTCTGCAGGTCCTGTGGATATAATGTTGACCCGTATTTGTTCTAAAAGGATGGATATGATACAATTTTTGCAGACTGGGCATGTGGACAGGAGAAATGACAGCACCCCCATATGTGTTAGATCCTTGCCCTTCCTGAATTATAGAAGCATACAAGGGGGAACTGGGCTACTGCATAAGTGCAATACTGAATGCCTATTTGTAGCATGGCAGAGAGCTAGTATGCCTAAAGGCAAGACTGCTATTAAAAAGCTTCTTGAATTCCACTGCACTGGATAATTGTTGGCCACTTGTCAATATTCAATATTTAGGCTAAGTACAGTGGCACCTTGGTTTACGAAAGCCTTGCTTAATATAATTTTCGGTTTACGAAGCAAGATCCATTGAAAATAATGCCTTGGTTTACGTTGTGGTTTTTTTGGGGAGTACGAAGAAAGCTTCCCCAGGATGCATTGTGCCTGAAGGTTTAAAGCGGGAGCCCTGTTTCTATGGCAATCTGCATTTCGGTTTATGAAGTTTTCGCATTATGTAACATCTCGCATAATGCATTAAATTCGTAAACCGAGGTACGCCTGTATTGGG